ACAGTGGTGAAATTAGACAAAGGCTAGTCACAGGTGGGAAACCGGAGAAGGAAATGGCTCCGATTTATGCCAGAGCCCTGGGAGTCGGGGAAGCACCGGTGGGGGGAGGCCATCCAGAGGCTCTGCCTGAGTGGGGACACAAAATGCCCATTTACTTCCTATTTGGGGAGGAAACCAGGGGCCTCACTGGGACCCGGCACTTGCCAGTTTGCCAATTGCTGGCCCAAACTGTCAGGTTTTAGGGGTCCCTGGAAGGCCTCAGGCATCCAGGGAGAGGGTGCAGGTCCCAGGTCAGAGCCGGAGCAGGAACGCCTCCCACCTCCCAGGAGGCCAGCAGCCCAGGCTGCTCTGGAACACACAACCTGCAGACAGGAGACTGAGTTTACAAAGTGGAAACTGTCCGATAGAACTTGTAAACATCCCATCAGCACCCCTCCCACTTCCCAGTCCTGGGGCCCCAGTGTCTGAAAACAAAGCTCGCAGCCACAGAAAGCCTTTTGGACAGATGAGAGCGGAGCCAAACAGATTCAACACAGGTGGGCCTGGTTCCCCGGGCAGCCTAGTCCTCCTCTCCTGACCAGCATTTCCGGGGTGAGGAGGAATAATTCGGCAAAACGACGAAGCTTCCCCCTGGAATTTCAGCAGGGAGCCTCGAAAGAACTACAGCTCTGGCCTCTGAAACGCCTAGGTCCTAATCCTAACCCTGCCGCTGACCTGCTGTGTGACTTTGGGTACGTCCCTTAACTTCTCTGAGCTTCCACTTATTTTCTCAACTGTAGAATAAAGATGATAATTCTTCTTATATAAAGTTTTAAGAATCAAATAAATAGTGTATGCACAGGCCCTGGCTTTTATTAATTAAGTTACTAACCTGCTTGAGGGTAGAGCTGCTAAATAACTTCGTTTCCCATTTTCAGAAATTCTCTCCTCTCTGCTTTCAGCTTCCCTTTCTCCTCTCTCATCATTTCTTTCCCCAGCACCTGGAAAGATCTCCTAGGTCGCTGCTATTCAAGGGTCCAGGGCAAGCAGCATCACCTAGGAGCTTGTGAGAAATGCAGACTCTCAGGCCTCACCCGGGACCCTCTGAGACTGAACCTGTATTTTCATAAGATCCCCAAGTTTTTCTCTGTGCATGCTGAAGTTTGGAAACCCTTGCACTTGGTCACTTCTTGCTTCTTTTATTTTTAATATCAAATATCACTGGGTTTCAATAGTTCACACCACTTAACAGGAGTTTCCCTCTGGCAAATTGCATAGCACATACGAAAAGCTCCTTAATTGTGACACTTGAATAACAATAAATCATAATATTAATAAAAATAAGAAGAACACAGTCTAATACGTGTTTAACGCGTTGGTATTTACAACACCCTTATACATACTCTCATCTGACTCTAGAATACGGGATCGTTATCAGTGGGTGAGTGACCAAATGATTGAATGAAGACTCGGAGCTGTTTGGTGGAGAGGACTGTATTAGGAGAGGGCTTTTAGAGTCATGCCAATGAGGAATCGTGTTCAGCCGCTAGTAAGAGAGCCAAAACAGCAGTGGACTAAACAAAATAAGGGCTTGTTTTCCTCTCACATGGTAAACTGTCTTCAGGCAGACCAGGCTGATATGGGGACTTTGCAAGATCCTAGAAGCTGGGCGCCTTCTGTCTTCTGCTCTGCCATCCTTAGCATGTGACTTCAATCCTTAAGATCACCTCATGGATGAAAAATTACTGCTGGAGCTCCACCTATCCAGTTCACGTCCCAGGGACGAACAAGGAGGAATAAGGGGAAAGAGCAGACGGTGCTTGTTAATCTCTTTAAATAGCTTTCTCAAAACTCCACCCAATCACTTCCACTGACTTCTCGCTAGCCATGCCCATCTTCAGGGAAGACAGGGAAACGTGGTTTAATTAGCCAGGCACACTGCTGCCCCTGACGTAGGAGTAAGGAAGTTGGGGGATATGGCTATTAGGATGAAAGCTGGCATTCTCTGCCCAAAGGGTCATGAAGGAAAGGAAAGAATGGATATACGAATCATGTTCAGTGCGCCAAGGCCTTCTTGGAAGAGGTTTGTGTTTCTCCCCATGCAATACCTCAACAAGCAATACAGGAGGGAGCGGGCCCTGGTGGGCTGCTTCTGGAAGAAGGGAAAGAGTCTTCTCACCAGTGCATTAGCTGAGGGCCCGGAGTGGGATGAGGTGAGACACCAGGACCCTCAGCTGGCCAGACTCACCTGAAGTGTTGCTTTCTCTCCAGAGGATGCTGGCTTCACGATGGCGTTATCATCGCGCACACTCTTCTCTTGCCTGGGATGCTCTCCCTCCTCCACGGCCTAATTCCTACCTCCTTCCACCACTTCCTGGCCAGTCCTTCAGTCTTCAGCTTGTCAGTTCTCATAACCTTGTTCTATGTTCTCATAAATCTGTTCTATCTTCGTATATATCAAACATTTGTTCCATGTCTGCCCTGCCCTGGCCTTTTACCCATCTAGTACAAAGTCCCTGAGGATAGATACCACGTCTATCCTGATCATCATTGAATTTCCAGCACCTTGCACATACCTGGAACATAGCAGTTGCTCCAAAAATATTTCTTGAATGAACAAATGCATCTGGTAAGAAAGTTCATACTATTCCTTAGCTCTTTGGGTTGTAAATAACAAAAAATCTACCTAAACTAGTTTAAGCAAGAAAGGGAAACTTAATTACAACACTACAGGGACATGTCTCAGAGACCAGGAACTAGATTATAGCCTGGCCTCAGGAATGGAGTGGAACCAGAAATTCAGATGCCACCGGGAGTCTCCTCATCTTTCTTTCTCTCTCATCCGACCAGCTTCTTCTGCTTTTGGCTTCTGCACAGTGAGGGAAACATGGCTGCCAAGAGCACCCAAGCGTTGTATGTTATTGGACCAATCAGCTGGAGAGGAGTTAAGACAGCTCTTTTTCTCTCATCTCTATCTCTTCAAAATTCCCAAGGAGAAAATTATTGTCCAAATATGGGTCAGGTGCCTGTCCCTGGACCAATCGAGTGACAGGAGCCAGGGTCGTATTGTAGAAACACGGCAGGTCCCGCCGCATCCTTGTGGTTTTGCTGTGGAAGGGTTGATTCCTGGAAAAGAGATTTGGGACAGACCAAACAAAGGACATCCATTGGGACAAGAGTCGGCTCCCAACACACACCAGAGCCACAGGAATCAACACACTCAAGTCAGGATAATTCAGGGAGAGTCAATTCACAAAATGACTAATTATAAAGGTATGGACAGGTGTGGGGAAGACAGCCAGGGTAGGGTAGCCCCCAGGGCTGGAAGCAGCACAGCTGTCCCTACCATAACACCCAAGGTGTGAGGGGAGGCGAGATCACCAGCCCAGGAAATGAGAGAGTGTTGCAGAGTGGGCAGAGTGTTGCAGACAGTGTCCCTTTCCTGGAGCTGCCATAGCAAATGACCATTACTTCTGTGGCTTAAAACAACAGAAATTTGCTTTTGGCTTTCAGCTCAGAGGCGGCCAAGGTGCAACTTTCTTCAGTCGTCCCCAATCCGGGTTCATCCGACAGCATCGCCCCGACCATGCCACCTAAATTCAACCCCAATGAGATCAAAGTCGTGTACCTGAGGTGCACCGTGGGGAAGTCGGTGCCATGTGTGCCCTGGCCCCCTAGATTGGCCCCCTGGGTCTGTCTCCAAAAAAGGCTGATGATGACATCGCCAAGGCAGTAGGTGATTGGAAGGTCTGAGGATTACAGTGAAACTGACCATCTAGAACCGACAGGCTCAGACTGAGGTGGTACCTTCTACCTCTGCCCTGATCATCAAAGCCCTCAAGGAGCCACCGAGAGACAGTAAGAAGCAGAAAAAAATGAAGTGCGGTGGAATTGTCATCTTTGATGAGATTGTCAACATTGCCCAACACATGCTGCACCAGTCATTGGCCAGAGAACTCTCTGAAACCTTTAAAGAGATCCTGGGGACTGCCCCGTCTGTGGGCTGCCACGTTGATGGTCACCACCCTCATGACATCATAGATGACATCAGCAGTGGTGCCGTGGAAATGCCCAGCTAGTTAAGAGCCTCAGAGGAAAATACTTCAATGAAGGATCACTTGACAACCAAAAAAAAAAACAGCAACAGAAATTTATTCTCACAATTCTGGAGCCATAAGTCCGAAATCAAGATGTTGGTAAGGCCACAGTCCCTCCAAAAGCCGTAGGGGAGAACACTTCCCTGCCTCATTCAGCGTCTGGTGGCTCCCAGTGCACCTTGGCTTGCGGCTGCGTCACTCCAATCTCTGCCTCCTTTACATGGCCATCTCCTCTTCTCTGTGTCGTCTCTTCCAGCTCTAATGAAGATGCTTGTCACTGGATTTAGGGCCCACCCAGATCATCTAGGATAATCTCATCTCAAGATGCTTAATTACATCTGCAAAGACCCTTTCTCCAAATCCGGTCAGATTCCAGGAATTCGGATGTGGACACACATTTTGGGGGGCCCTCACTCACCCCACTATAGCCACCGTGAAAGCAGCAATGATTTTAGGTTGAGGGATAAGAGCCAGGGAGATAGGCGGAAAAATAAATACCCCAAACTCCCTTTCCTCCCTCACTTCATCTCCTGCCGGGGGTCTCATTGGCCAAACCCAATAGGAAACCCGAGGGCATGAGTATGGTTGGTGGGTTCCAGGCTCCCAGGCCAAGAGCAGGGTGGAGAAGGTGGTGGAATGGATCTGGAGGGGCAACCACAACGCAGGGGTGCATAACATCAATCAAGGGAAGATTGGACTCTCATTTATTTGGAACTTGAGCCGAGGGTTCATGGCTGCAGAGACTCATAAGTGAATGGCAATAGTACTGGTGGTGTTTGTGCCAATAACGTAACACGTCTGTATACGTAGCTGTTGTGCCTTCACCAGGAAGCTGTCTTAGGTGCGAGCAGATGACTGCTCCATTCTATCTTCTGATGGGGATCTGTCCAAGCATTTCCACACTGAAATATAGACTTTTTTTCTTTAATATGAAAACACCTGATGAATTTGTGTGTTGTCCATGTGTGGGGGCTCTGCTAATCTTCTCTGTATCATTCCAATTTTAGTATACGTGCTGCCCAAGCAAGCGGGAAATATATGGTCTTGTATTTTAAAGTTCTTTTAATTTCTCCCTTTATATCGTGGCATTGTATGGTTTAATATTATGAAACTGTGATGTAGGTTGGTTATATTATTTATGAATGCTAAAGGTGGTGTTGAAAAATATTTATTATAAGAAAGGGGTATTGGGTTGCATAAAGTTGAGAACTCCAAGGCGTAGGTGACTCAATGTGCCAGTGCATGAAGTGCTTGGTAAATAGCACCTATTGTGGTTAAGGCTGTCATCACTCTCCCTCAATTCCAGGCACAAATGAGTTGAGGACCCTGGAGACCAGTCGTGCTGTGAGTCACCGGTGTGGTCGGGAAGAGAGGGCGCAGCCTGGAGCCAGGTCTCCTAGGGGAGGGGGTGCTGAGTGACGCAAGCCGGGTCCCCAGAAACCCGGGCCCTGACATCGCCGCCTCCCCCCGCCCCGAGCAACAGGTCTCCAGCAGAATGGACTCTCTTCTGAGCCCTGGAAGCCCCCACGAGCCCCCGACTAGCCGCAGCCAGGCGGCTCCCTCTGAGCACACCAGCATCCTGGGCTTTCCCCCACAGCTGAGGAGGCTGGGCCAGGCCTGGCTCCAAAGCCACAAACCAGACCCGCCCGACCAGCTGACGTCAGCGGGTCCCAGGCGGGGGAGGGGGAGGTTGGCCTGGGAGCCGGGCTCTCTCACCCCCAGGGGAAGGGAGGAGATGTGAGAAGAACGAGGAGGGGAAAGAGGAAGGAGGAAGGCAGGCAGGCAGCGAGCTCTCAGAAGTCTGATCAGCCGGTGGGGACAGCTGTAGGGAGGGGGGATGGGATGCCCTGTCACCCCCATGCTTGCAACTAGGCATTCAAGACCCCTGCCTACATCCCCATCCTCATCTCAGACCATTCTCTGCATTCCCCCAGGACCCTCCCACAGAATTACTTGGATGTCCCCCCAAAGCCAGGCTTATCAGTGCCTATGTGCCTTTGGGAATACAGTTCTCCACTTGAATTGCCTTCCCTGGCTCATCTAGCTTCAGGTGTCCCTGAAAATATCCCTTCTCATGAAGTATTACCCAGTTCAGACGTACTTTCTCTTGTCTCTGTACCAAACTCTATAGGTGGTTTTTTTTTCGGTGAGGAAGACTGGCCCTGAGCTAACTCTTTTTGCTTGAGGAAGATGGTTGCTGAGCTAACATCTGTGCCAATCTTCCTCTATTTTATGTGGCATGCCACCATAGCAGGGCTTGACAAGGGGTCTGCGCCTGAGGTTCCAGACCTGCAAATCCTGGGCCAGGAAAGGGGAGCACGTGAACTTAAACCACCACACCGCCAGGCCAGCCCTGTAGGTGTTTAAGGCAGACTAGAATGGCCATTGATCAATTTAGGACAGAATTTTGAACTTTAGTGTATGTTAGAATCCCTCAGAAGGCTTGTTCAAACAAGAATTGCTGGGCTCCATTCCCAGAGTTTCTGATGCAAATTCTGGTCTGGGGTGGGGCCAAGAATTTTCACTTCCAGCAAGTTCCCAGGAATTGTTGATGCTGCTGGTCCAAAGATCACACTTTGAATACCACTGGTTTAGTGCAAGAAACAATCATTCCTGGGTATGATCAGAGCTTATTTATTAATTCATTCAGTGGCTGTCTCCTGCAGGCCTGCCACGTGCCAGAAATAGGCCAGGGGTTGAGCAATCAATGACAAGCAACGCAGACATAGGACAAAGCCCCATGGAGCCTCCAGTCAACTAGAGGAGACAGATATTAAGCAAATAAACATACTAGTCAGTATATAATAAGAAATTGTGATAAATGATCTAAAGGAAAAGAATATTATGAAAAAGAATAACAAGGACCTATTTTAGATTGGGTGGTCAGATGGGGCCTTTTGGGGAAAAGGGACACTTGTACAGGTGTATTTTAAACAAACTTCTATAGGGTACACTTATTGCACTGTATTATGGCCTTTTTGTTTTTTAAGTTTTCCAGATAACCACTAGTCTGTGTGCTCTTGAAAGCTAGAATCTTGTCTTATTAATATTTGTGCCTTCCGCATGCTGCACAGAGGAGGGCCTTGGTAGATAGTGTAAGAATGGATGGAAATACGGAGGGATCGTTGGAAGAATGAATGAATGAAATGTCAGATGAATGTATGCATAGATAGGTGGATGGATGGATGGATAGATGGATGATGGAAGGACAGGTGACTATCTCTGGCAGCAACATGGAGAACCAGGATTCTTGATGGTACCAGTGAGAGAAGAATGGAAATTGATAGAAACTTAGCTGACTCCTTTACTATATCTCCAAACCCTGTCCATCATTTAAGGTGACCACCAGCAGTCCCTCCTCCCCAAAGCTCCCTTGATTATCATCACTAGGCTCCGCTGCTCGCATGAATGAATTGCTGTCACCTCCTGCACTCCCACGCATGCCACGCTTATTTAGACACGCAATTGTCTTATGCTTGTCACCTACTAACCACCTGTGTGTAAGTTTCTCATGGTAAGCCATGCTCTCTGTGTCAGTCTAAAAAAAGGAAAGGAGTTGGGGGAGGAAGAAGAGAAAGTTTTTCCCCTACCACTGAGCTAAAGAAGGCACAGAGCTCAGAGGGTGGCGCAGAGATTCTAGCTCTGACAATTCATCACGTGACTTCAGAAAAGCACTTTAAATGACACATTTCCTCCAAAGATACGTCTCAGGCTTCTCAGAGGAGCACGGTTTATTTAGAGACTCAATTTGAGTCAGATAAGGAGAATAAAAACACCCAGAGTTGAGGTCCTCTGGGATGTTTAAAAATGGAGAGTGGAGGGGCCGGCCCCGTGGCTGAGTGGTTAAGTTTGCATGTTCTAATTTGGCAGCCCAGGATTTCATGGGTTCGGATCCTGGGCACAGACCTAGCACTGCTCATCAAGCCATGCTGAGGCGGCCTCCCACATAGCACAACTAGAAGGACCTGAAACTAGAATATACAACTACCTACAGGTGGCTTTGGGGAGAAGAAGGAAAAAAAAAGAAAAAGAAGATTGGCAATAGATGTTAGCTCAGGTGCCAATCTTAAAAAAAAAAAAAAATATGGAGAGTGGAAAGAAAACTATAAACTATATAGAAACCAGCACCTTCCCTTTGAAGATTCTCCACCGGGACGAAAGCTCGACTAGCTTTTCATGCTTGACTCCCACACCCTTGTTTCCAGTCTCATCAAAGCTCTTTACCACCCAGCCCAGTCCTCTTCTGCCCAAGGAACTTGAGTTCAGAAGAGAATCCCCAAAGGATCTGGAGGTGGGGGAAGAGCCCCTTTGTATCCAAAAGAGAGCAGAATGAAGAATCTGGGACACAAAATTCCCCAGAGATGGAAATAAAATGCTTCTCAATAGTGAAGAAGCTGAATAGAGAACTCTCAAAAGAGGGCAAGACGTCAACAAACGTGGGCATGGATATCTAACCCTAATAGTAACTAGAGAAACGTAAAAAAGCGAGATTTCAAATGTATGCACACACGTATAAACTATATATATATTAAACTATAATACTCTGTGTAAGTCAGGATGCCTCTAGTGGACTGAAATTGGCGCATTTCTGAAATCATGGGGCAGTGGGCCTCAAGCGTCTTTAAAATGTTCACGTTTTTCTCCCCCCTAAAAAGAGGACATCAGTTTATTCCCAGTTCTTATGATCTATCCTCAGGGAATCACTTAAAATACAAAGACAAACAAAACAGCAAAAAGAACCCTGATCACACAGACGTTCATCCGTGTATTACATGTAATAGCGAAAGACTGGACACAGCCCGGAAGTCCGGCAATGAGAGAATGATTGTTAGTTAGACATTTGTAGAATACTATTCATCCATGCCCAATTCCGTGTTCTGCAGGGTTCTTCCTTGGGGAATGTGCCAGCAGCGATGTTGTCTAGGGTGCAGGTCCTTCAGGAGAGCACCTGATTGAGTCCCTTGAGGCCAACCTGATGCTTAGCTTCTCAGTATCAGAAACTGGCTTTTCTTAGTGCACAGATAAGAGCAGACTCATGGTGATGGATTTCCTCTCAAGGCTAGGGTAGCCATCACAGCCAACGTAGTAGCTCACACTGCATGACATCCCTTTCCAGACAGCAGACTATGAGCATCCACTGCCCAAGATCTGTCCTCCAGCTGGTATTGGGGTAGAAGGGAAGGAAAATCAGCAGGCTGCTCAGTGCTGAAGTGTCTCTGATCTAGAGGAGAGACAACGTCTCTAGCGACTGAAATGCTTGTGTCTCTCCCTTGGAGAGCGGAGGCTACCTGGTGACCAGTTTGCTCTCTTGCACTTGCTTTTCCATGCTCACCACTTTCTTATTAATGCAGTTCCATTCTGAGCACAGGTGACTGACCAATCCAGGGGTGGCACGAGCTGGACCAATCATCGTTCCTTCTCTGGGCACATGGACTTGGGATGGTGCTAGTTGTCAATCGATTGCCTCTCAGCTCCAAATTCAACCTTCATTATCTGCTCCATAAAATGTAGTGGGCCATCTAAAATGTTTCCCGTGCCGGCTGACAAAAGTTATGCTTTGTTAATAGAGAGCACTGGAGAGTCGTTGTAGGAGGGATTTTCCTTTCTGATTCTGGTGTGCTCTGCTCAGCAGGCCCCTGTAGCGTGTGGCACCTGGCTTCTACAGCTTGGACAACTCCTCCAGTATCCAGCTCCTGCAATGCAAGCGACTTCTTCAACATCAGGGTCCTGCTGATGCAAGCCAGGATAGATGGCTTCTTTAGCATCCATCTCCCCCAGTGCATGGTGGCCAGAATCATCCGAAGGCCAGCAGCCTCCCCTGGCACTCCCACTACAGGTGGTTTTATAGAGGGGTGACTCCAGTGAACACATCTTAAGCACCCTAGAGGGTGGATTTCTAGCGAGTTCTGACAGTGCAGCAACATAGGGACTTCTCTTCCATCCAGTGAACCACAGCCGTGCCCTCTCCAACAAGGTCTGGAGCTCAGCCATGGGGTGGCGGCCCGGGGCTCTATCTTGGATGGTCTAGCTCAGCCCTGAGCCTTGGAGCCGCTATTGTTGTGCTTTCTAGAGTTCTGTTTACTTCCTACTGGCTGATCCCTTGTTACTCCAATCCCTGTTATAGTTGTTAACAAAAATATCCAGTATAAGAATTAAGTTAGGAAAATTTTTTCCTCATACAGTTTGCAAACCGGGGAGATGTGGCCTTCGGCAGCAAACTGAAAGTAGGCTCAGGGGAGAACAAAGAAAAGGGGGATGCCTTTACAGAAAAAGTTTCCGTGCAGGTTCCCACTCAGATCTGCTTATGCAAATAAGAGATACAAGCCCACTGAGTCCTGATCAGTTGGTGCAGGTCACAGTTTTGTTGGTTAGGTCCAGGTGGCCGTTAGGGGCTTTGGCAGAGTGAAAGCTTAAGAGCGCATTCGGTGGTTTTCCCAAGAACAGAGTACGTGGCTGCATCCTGCTCTCGTCATGGCTGCTTGGCTCCATTTGTTTTGAGGTCCCCGTTAGCCACACAGAGTCCATCTTGTTCTCAGGAGTATTTTTGATTTCATTTTATTTCACATAGTTAATAATTCTTTACATTAAACTTTCACAATTCAAATTGCTGTGTGGTTCCTATCTCCTGATTGGGCCCTGACTGGTACAGGGACTAAGACATAAGGTTCAGTCCCTCTCTGGTGACTACACTGCGGTGAACTTGGGAGTACCAGGCGGCCATCTTTTCTGCTGTGTGGACTGGAAATATAGAAGAAGCTGGTCTACAGAGCAGAGAGGAGAACAAAATAGGGGCACAGGGAGAAGGAACAAGTGATGGAGGCTGCCAGTCTGTTCCTGAAGTCCACTGCACCTGGGAGACGCCCCAGCCTCCTAATAATTCTACTTTCCTCCTCTTTTATTTTTCTTTTTCTGTTTAAGCTAGCTCTAGTGTGTTTCTGTAACTTACAACCAAAAGAGACTTTAATACAATCTCTGGGAGAGGCTGTGCTGCCTCTCATTAGAATCTCTTAATATACATTAGTTTCATCAGAACATTTAGAGTTTGAAAGACGTCCTCTTTTGCTATTTATAAAGGTGAGAATGAGTCCAATATAAAAGTCCAATAGAGATATGTATGTATGTCAATTATACTTCAATAAAAATATTAATAATAGTAATAGATATGTAATGGGACGAGTACAGCATTTTGAAAATTACTAATGTGCTTGTTTCTTTTGTCTTTTCCTCTTCAGCACAAATCGTGGGCTGGTTATCCTCCATTTGCCACTGCAGATCCGCCTTCCTCCATTCTCCACCCTGCTCCACGCACCGGGAGGCTGACCTCTGCAGAGTCCTTGTTGCTCCACCTTCCAGCTCAGCTCCGGTAACGGGACACTGGAAGGAGAGGAGAGAGCAGGAGGAGAGAGATGTGAGCACAATTATTCCCCCGCTCCCTCTCAGCCAGACCTCAGGTGGGCAGTGGCCGCCTCCTCCACCTACAGTCCTGTCAGACAGTCTCTCTCCCACAGCCACAGCTTTGTTTGTTGCTCCTTCAGGACGAGGGAAGTTACTGCCCTCCCACATCGCTACTCCCTGAGTGCTCCGCCATTGCTCATCTGTTACCTCATCCCGGCCAGCACCTTTGTAAATAATCCTTCATTAAACCCTTCAGTCACCATGTTCGGCAAACCGTCTGTTTTCCGCGGAGCCCTGGCCAGTACAGCAGCCATGGGAAGGAGGGGAGCAGGGGTCAGCGTTTGTTACAGAGGGGATACAAGGAGAAAGACGGGGGCTTCTGACACGCAAAATGGGATCGTGGAGAAGGATAAACGCCTTAAAGGCAGCCTCCTTAAATTGCCTCTTCAGGTTATTCTTCAGTTAGACTCGTTGCTCATTTTCCCATTAAGCAGGTGGGAAGTTGTGCAAGAGACTAGCTCAGCTAAAAACAAAGATTATAGGAACCACTGGTTTTCTGCACATTCCTGGTTGAAGTGCAATATCAACCTGTAAGCACTATGGGAACGTGGCTAACTAAATGACAGAATGACGGGATGGAATATTAATGATGATTACAGCAAACCTTAATAAGCAACAGCTTATAACATGCTGCCAAGTGAAAAAGGAAGGCAGGAAACTTACGGTCATCACGATCTCAGTTATGTTAAAAGCATACACACACGAGCAGAGAAAAAGAGAACTTGTAAGGAAGTCACCAAAATGTACAAAGAGGTTGCGTTTAGGTGGTGGAATTAGGGGTGGTACTTATTTTTTTCCTTTATATTTTTTTAATACTCCAATTTTTCTACAATGAGCATGAATTGCTTTTGTATCCAGAATTTTATCTGCTTTTTCTAAGAGAACATGTGCGGCATGATCTGCTCACATTATCAGGAACGACCCAGACTGAGCGGCAAGTCCCAGCCAGGGCTTCCGTTTCCTGGGCGCCTGGGCCTGGTTAGTGCGGGAACCTTGGCAAACAACTGTCGGGTTAACTCTTTCTTCAGAAGAGAGGAGGAGGTGGTGCCACAGGGACCTTCTGCTGAGGGCTGCCGGTGGGAGTGCGGTCGCTATCGTGAGTCCTGTCACCCTGGGTACCTACTGCGGAGATCTGGGGAGTTCTTGTCTTCCAGGCAGGGTGAGTTGGGGCCAACTGTAGGGGGCTTCTGGAAAATAAGTTGAGTCAGAAGTAGCCGTGTCCTTGGGGACAGGTGTGGGACTCTACCACCAGTGACACGCGCAGGGTATGAATGGTATCCTTGGAGAGTGGAAAGCACCATCAGGCCGGCTTAATCAGGACCGGAGGGAACATGTAAGCTGATGTCCTTGTTCCTGCCGAGGTGAGTGTGGTCCTGCCTTTGGGCCTGTGCTCGGGCCCTTTCCTCTGAGGAGGGACATGAAATGGCATCTCCCTTAGCCCATCTCTGTCTACCTGATTCCTGCCTGAATTACCTTTGGAATATTTAAGTGAAATAGCAAGAATTCTTCATCCTGGTGAATCAGGCATTGGGTTCTGGCCGTCTGGAGGGCACGTACCCGCACCCCTGATGCATCACCCGTAAGGCCTCCTCCTGGGGTCAGGGCAGGGAAATGTGCTGAAAGGCAGTGTTGGTATTTCGATATTTTGTTTCGTTTTGCTGTTGTAGGAGACGAAAAATGATTTTCTCTCTACCTTCTGAGTTCTTAGCTGAGAGCCCTGTAATAGAAGACAGTTAACTACAGAAAAACAAACAGAAGTTTACGCACGTATCTGCCACGTGTATGCACGGGAGACACCCAGGGGAAAATGAGTAACTCCCCGAGGTGGCTCAGAGTTCAGGACTAAATACCATCTTGATATGGAGAGGGGAGGGGAATGTAGGCCTCTTAGCAGAAGGAAGTGATTTTTAGGGAAGACGAATGGGCCCTTAGAAGAATGGAGGGGAGGTGTTATGGTTTGTGATGGAGTTTGTCTTCTGGGTGTGGTGTCGACTTCTAGTCTCCTCTCCACTGATAAGAGTCAGTCTTCCCTGCGTGATGGTACCTCTGGGGAGGGGATGTGGGACAGAGAGCTTCTTTAGGAGGATCTGTCTTTAGGCAAATAAGGGGAGTTCAGAGAAAGCTCTCCTGGCATTTGCTGTTTTTCAAGTGCCATCAGCTCAAAATGCTCAATATACCAAAGCAGGGTGTTTCAGGGTGGCGTGTCCTGAACTCCTGCAGTCATATGTTCGGTGGGCGTATTCTGCTACCCTTCATCACGGTTATCCATGTGGTTTCCTCCCCTTAGTTACCTCCCACCTGGGCTAGTCACCCCACCCGTCACAAGGCAAGTCTGTGGGAAGAGCCTTTCCCTGGGCACTCCCCACCCCCGGGCCCTGGCCAAGGCTGCGCTGCCTGCAGTCTCTGCCTGCAGTCTCTGCGGCCTGCAGAGTTCCGTCCCCCCAGTGCCCAGGGCGTGACCTCCTACCAGCCTCTAGGGACACTCGCCCTGCCCGTCTTTGCCTCCTGACGCTACCATCAACCTCCCTGCACCTCCTCCCTTGACCAGTGTTGAGGATCAAGAGAAAGAAGCCGCAAGTTCTCTATATAGAGCCCTGCGCCCTGGGCTCTGTGGCCCTGAGCTGGCCGCTCGCCTGGCCCACGGCGGAGATGGTGTATCCCTTTCCCCTCTGAACCTGCTCCTTCTCTTTTTCCCAGTGTGCGTCGTGCCTCGTGCCTTGTGCTTCGGAAGCCTAGCCGGCCACAGCAGACATCTAGGCAAGCAGGCCCACAGGGACGGCCTCCTTACCGTCCTGGCTCCCTGATGACATCCCTGCAGGCTTCCCTCTTGAATCAGCCACTGTGAAGTGAGGGCTAGGAGAGAACAGACGACACTTCTTGCCCTGACCGGTCTTCCCTTCCTGTTCTTTCCACCTTTGGCCGAGACACCACACAGAAGTGCATTTTGGTTCTGTTTACATTCTCGTCAGAAGGCGTGCTCATTTCCAGGCAGCGCTTCTCACACAGTGAGGGACGTAAAGATCATCTGGGGCCCTTGTTAAAGCACAGGTTCCGACTCGGTCATTCTAAGGTGGAGCCTGAGACCGGGCCTTTCTAAGAAGCCCCTGATCCCACGGGATGGAAGGGGCCCAGTCCTGTATTCTAGGCTTAGTGGGATACTGCCGAATCTGTGAAGAGGATCAGAACTCCAGTGTCAGAATTAATCACTGCTCCCTTCGTTTCCCCAACACCTCGCTCAAACCTTGATACAGCTGCTGACAGCTGGACTCGCCTGCACCTCTGCCGCCCCGGGGCTGCTGGACAAATCATCTTTGGAGCCCTAATACCTGGCATGGGGGATGCTCAGCAGCTTTTTTGAATAAAGGAACAAACGCATTAATGGCTTTTGAAGGCAATTTACAAAAGATGTAGGTTGTTAATAGGTAACATTCCCCAAACTGTATTCCCTGGGACACCAGTTCTGGGGGTGTTAATAGATATTTGTTAAAAGATGGAGGGGAGGTAAGAAGGTTCTGTAGTCACTTAATCTGGAAAATGCTGGATTAAAAATAGACATCTGAAGAGCTTCTGGAGGCTATAATAGACTCGTGGTCATTGCTAGTGTCTAGGAGAGGGATCCAGTAGGCAGCGTTGCCCTCACTAATATGACCACAGAGAACTTTCCTGAGAAGCATCTTATTGCTTGTGTGCTGAGGAATACAGGGACAGTCATGACTCTGGGTATTCATCCAAGGATTGTGGGTAAAAATTAAGTTACGAAGGAGATCTAGCTAGCCGGTAAGGGAAGAAGATGTGAGAACCAAAAAGAAATAGAGGCTTCCTTTTCTGTTCCCCTTGCCACCTGAGTCATCAGACTGTGGGGCTCTCTCTGCTCTTCTGGATTCCTCGGGGAGGAGGACACAAGGAGAAATTCCGACTCCTTCTTCCTCCTCTGACCCACTGCAGTGGCTGAGAGGGAGAAGCCAGGAAACCAAGAGAGAAGGGAACCAGGAGCACTGCTTGGTGCTCAGTCCGCTAAAAGACTAAGGATGCCCGTAAGTATCCCCAGGAAGAGCTGTGCTCCAGCCAGAAGGCAGGGGAGGATCGGAGTTTTAAAAGGGACCACATACTGCAAGTGCGTAGCTGGGATTAGAGTTGAAATAAACTGACAAAAAGAAAGGAAGAGTCTAGAAAAAGGCCCCAAGTGAATCCCAGAGTTCATTTACCTTAAACAGTGGCTCCTAACTCAAGGCGATTTTGCCCCTCCCATTCCATGTTCCTCAGCATCTGGAGACATTTTTGGTTGTCACAACAAGGAGGAGGGTGCTACTGGTGTCTAGTGGGGGGTGGCCAGGGATGCTGCTCAACGTCCTGTAATGCACAGGACAGCCCCCACAGCAAAGAATTATCAGGTCTCAAGTGTCAGTGGTGCCACTGTTGAGGAATCTTGCCTTAAACATTGTTCTAACACATCACCTTGAAGTTAACATTTAGGATGTTGCTTAAATTCAGCCGTTTTACCATGAACATTTGGGGAAAATTTATTCAGTAGGTGAAAATCCGTGATTATGCATTTGGAGGTCCAAATCTCAGTCAGCAATACTATTTTGTATGTTTAAACGACATCATAAACAACATTACACGTTTTGCAAGGAGACAAAAAAAAATAAACGGACTCACAACAAGTATTTCCTTTAATTTAAAAGTTTAGGAGCCAGCCCGGTGGCATAGTGGTTACACACGCTTCGCTTCAGTGGTCTGAGGTTTGCAAGTTCGGGTCCTGGGTGTGGACCCACACACTGTTCATCAAGCCATGCTATGCCAGCATCCCACACACAAAATAGAGGAAGATGGGCACAGATGTTAGGTCAGGGACAATCTTCCTCACCAGAAAAACATATACATATATAAAAAATAAAATTAAATAAAAGTTTAGGATGCTCAGATTCAGCTGTTTTTTCATAAATAATCTGGGGGATATTTATTAAGTAGAAGGGGATAAAAAATACAAATAAATAAATAAGAGCAGATGTGGGAAGGATCCCATTGCAGGCTATATAATTAGAGAACTTCTCATACAGGTCCACGGGGAGACACGTAAGAGGGTGTTTTATCACAAAGTTGTTTGTGATGGTTGGGGAGCTGGATACAATGAGGTGTCCATCATTGGAAAGTCTTTCATAATAAGGAGCAGTAAACTAGCAACCAATGGTGTATACATAGCAACGTAAACAGATCTTTAACACACGGTGCTGAAGAGGGGATAAAAACGTCAGGAACAGAGCCCTCTTGCACAATAGTATTGATTGAAATTAAAAATACATGCCCACAAGACAATGCCTCATGTTTTCAGGAACACTCAAATATAACGATTCACAAATCTTGGTCACAGTGCCAACTTTACAGTCTCTTGGGCATTAGGCACCACTGCCACCTGGTGGTAGCAGTTCACAACTCAGGGTTTTTTTAAAAATAAGATGTAATTCACATACCATGAAATGCATAAATTTTAATTTGATGAATTTTGACATTTGTAAGCATTAGTGCAATCACCACTATAAACAATATATAGAACATTTCCATCGTCCCGGAAAGTTCCTTCCTTCCCTTTCTGGGAAGTCCTCCCACTCCTTACCCTAAACGTAACCACTGATCTGTTTCTGGCACTGTATATAAGCTTCGCCTGTTGCAGAACTTCATACACATGAAATTATACAATGTGTACTCTTTCGCGCTTTCGGGAATCATAATGTTTTTTGAGATTCATCCATGTTGTGACATGTATCAATAGGTAATTCATTTTTATTGCTGAGTAGTATTCCGCGGTGTGAGTGTTTCACAGTTCGTCTTTCTATTCACCAGTTGACGGACATTCAGGTTGTTTCAACTTTGTGGGTATTTCAAATAAAGCTGCCATGAATATTCATGTATAAGCCTTTGCGTGGCCGTACGTCTTGACTCATCTTGGATGGAATTGCTGGGTCATAGGGTGGACGTACATGTAATTTTTTAAGGAACTGCCAAAACAATTCTCCAAAGCAATTGTATCATTCTACACATTCACCAATAATGACTTTATGTCAACAATAAAAAGATGAACAACCCAATTTATTTAAAGGGGCAAAAAGACTTGAACAGACACTTGACGATATGCAAATAGCCAAAAAGCACAGGAAAACGTGTCCAACATCAGTAGTCTCTAGGGAAACATGAATTACAACCGCCGTGAGATATCATTTTTCACTCACTAGAATGTTAAAAGCAAAATGTCGCAAATGTACAGAAGCTGGAGGTGGCGGCTTTCTCGCAGCGAGGCACAATGGTGAATGACCACAGCCCAATTCCTCTGCGAGGGGAGGATTCAGCGTGAGATTTGCACATTCCTGCATAGACTGTTGTTGGTCACGCCTGGGAAATTGAGAGGTCAAAAGACAAACCTGATGTTTTCCCTTGGTTGGGTGGGGCCACGGAGGGTGCCAGAAACATAAATTGGGGCAGGTCCTTGTAACTGTTCTGTATCTCATGCTCTAGAAAGAATGGTTGTGTCCCTCCAGAATCCATAGGTTGAAACCTAATCTCCAGTGTGATGGTATCAGGAGATGGGGCCCTGGGAGAGCCCTCATGAATGGGATTAGTGCCTTCATGAAAGAGACCCCTGAGAGCTCCCTCGTCCCCTTCCACCATGTGAGGACACAGTGAAAAGACAGCCATCTGTGAACTACCAGACGCTGAATCTGCTGGCCTCTGGATCTTAGACTTTCAGCCTCCAGAACTGTAAGAAATACATTTCTGTTATTCACAAGCCACGCAGTCTATGGTATTCTGGTACAGCAGCCCAAACAGACTGAAACCTTTCAGTTTCTCATTCAGGAGGCAAAGCTTTCAGAAGGATGTATCAGTAGAGGTTGCTCCCTGACCCTTCTAAAGGGGATAAGAGTATCCTGGAGTCAGAATGAATGAAAGCCATGATAGTCCAGGGAGGAGCTGGGCAGGTCTTCGTGTAACCCATGTGCCACCTGGGTGCCCAGAATGCGGCTCTGCCACCCAGGTTCTCTCCTCTCCTCTTCCTCTTTCTGCTTCTCTTCTCCTCTCTTTCCTCCTTTTCATAACAGCACCATTTGTTAAGTTTTGTCATGAACCAGGCTTTTAATACATGCTTTTGCTAGCACAACAACCCTGCAAGGTAGGTATTAATATTCCCATCTCACAGATGAGGGAATGTGAGCTTCTGGGTTTGAGGAACTTGCTCAAGGTCGTAAGAGTTGTGGATTCGTTTCCCATGGTGCTGTAACAAATGCCCATGAATTAGAGGCTTAAACAACATGAATTTACCATCTCACGGGGTCGGAGGTCAGGACTCTAAAATGGATCAGCAGGGCTTTGTTCCTCCTGGGATCTCTGGAGGCAAATCTTTTCCTTGCCTTTTCCGGCTTCTAGGGGCTTCCTGCAATCCCTGGCTCGTGGCCCCACATCACTCTGAGCTCTGCTTCCATCTTCACATCTCATTCTCTGACTCTCCTGCTGCCCTTTTACAAGAATGCTTGTGATTATATTGGGCCCACCCTGACAATCCAAGATAATCTCCCCATCTCAAGATCCTAGCTTAATCACAGCTGCAAAGTCTCTTTTGCCGGGCAAGATAACGTACTCACAGGTCTGAGGGATTACGAAGTGAATCTCTTTGGGCGGGGGGTGTCATTATTCTGCCCACCATAGCTAGTGAGTGGCCAAGTCAGGATCCAGACCCAGTTCTGTCTTATTCCTAAGTCAATGATCTTTCTCTAAACCACCCTGACCCTCCCTTTAGTCCCTCTTCTTGGAGCAGCCCTGGACCCTTGACAAGCACAGCATCCGAGACAGAAAGGGACGGCAGAAGACCACAGGGCTGGGGACATGAGGAGGAGGAGAAGCGCCTGGTGAGGAAGAGAGGGACAGGAGAGTCCACGGCCAGACCACACTCACACAGAGGGAGGGGTGCCTTCAGGTCCAGGCAGGAGGAATTCACCAGGGAGGGAGCAATGCCAACCCTGAGGCTTTAGCTCTCAACCCACCAAGGCACAGAGCACCAGAAGCAACTCTTCTCGCTCTCCCTCTGCTCAGGCGTGCCCAAAGGCTGCTGTAGCTCCTTTCCCTCGGAGACAGGCTACCTACCTCCAATCCCAGCTGTGTGACCTGGATCTAGATATTTCATCCCTCAGTACCTCAATTGCCTCATCTGTAAAATGGAGTTACACTTAGTTTATAGGGTTTTCATAAAAAATAACTGTGTTAATATATGGAAACGGCTTAGAACAGGGCCTGGCACAACACAGGTGCTGTGTAAACGTCAGGGGGAGGATGCAGCTTTTGAGGGGAGAGGGGAGCAGTCTTTTGGGCCCTCTGTGTCTAAACTTAGCCTGGTCATAGGTGCTACAGCTGGGAAGATGGGGTCACGAGGGTCATGCGTGCTGAACCTATCTGTGCCGCACAGCGTGTGCATCAGCGCCCCCACCTTCCGCCTGGACCCCGGATTGATCGCCCTCTGGAGCATCCCTGTTTGCAGGGACCTCTGGACCTTAGCCGGGTGCAGGGAGCACTTCCTCATGGAGGCAACGGTGGGTACCACAGGAAGCATCCCTCTACCTGTGGTCCACACCTGGCTATTTTGGAGACTCCTCACCAAGGCTGGACCACAAAGACTTTCCAGAAGACTCACTTCGAACTGTGTTTCTCCTCCCCCTGCCGTTTCAGTTGCTGGGCCGAGGATGAGCTGCTGAATGTGTATGTTTGGAAGCAGAATCTCAGCGGGTGGGAAAATCTAGTGAAATTATGAAATTTGAAGTCAGACAGACTGAGCGCCAGCTCTGCTGCTTATAAGCCTTGAGACCCAGGACACGCTGTTTCATCTTCCTGAGCTTTAGTTTCTCATCCGTAAAATGGAGGTAATTATAGGGCCTTTGTGAGCATCATAGAACACAAGCAAAGTTCCTAGCACAGTGCTTGGAGCATTTGGTAATAAAGCCCTGACATCTGATGACGGGTTCTTCTGACATAAGTGGTCAAACTGTGTGGTTTTCCCACACCAGCCCCCAGTGCCAGGGAGTGACAAGCCTTCAGAGTCATCTTTTCCAGCTCTTCTAGGGACAAGAAGGCCCCTTGGGAGACTAGCAGTGTCTGCTCCATGATGTCAGGCCTGGCCCGAGGAGGCCAGGGGCGGAGCAGGATTGAATAGATATCTAAGCTCCTAGATCTGGGCGGCTCAGCAGGGCGGTGAGGGAGGAACAGAGAACACAACCGCGGTAAACCTGGAGACCCGGGGACCTTTGAACGCATCTCATGGTGCCAGGGTTTGGCCCCTGAGGATGGTGGAAACCTCTGGCGTGGAGAAAGTGGAAAGCTTCCTGCCACCAGGGGACACTTCTCAGGCTTGGTAGGAGGTGGCGCTGTTGGCGGGGATTTGGGGCTTGTGTGAGGTGAGCCTGAGGGGAGATCAGATGCCCTAGCGGTCCCCTCCCCTCCAAACCAGGTCCTCAGAGCATGGTACCCACCATCACCGCCATAAGGAAGTGCTCTCAGCGTACCAGAGCTTGGTTACGCACTTAACAAAAGTATCCTTTAATCCCATCAAGTGGCTGTTATCACCCTTTTATAAAAGAGGGCACTAGCCTTGAGAGAGATTTAGGAATTAAGGTCACACAGCTGGTAAGTGGCAGGGCCTTGATCAAACGGATGCTGGCCTGCTCCAGGACCCTGCTTTTTCCTTCTTGCCAGTGTCTCTCTTCAGCCTCTCCCCTCCTCAGAGGGGTCCCAGATCCTTTTAGGGCCTCGGAACCCAGAAAGGAAGGGACAGCAGTGGCTGGACAGCATCAAGAGGAGGACACGGTGGTGAGGGTCTGAGGACCCCCTCCTCCAGGCTGGGAAGGAGGAGGTGGGCGGCAGACCAGCCTGGACCACACCTCCCACGGAGGGAGGGCAGCAGGGTCTTTGGGTGGTTCACAGAGCTGTCCAGGAGACAAGCACCGGAGAGGGGCAGACAAGGCCTGAGGCCTCACCTGTCAACACTGAAGCATAGCAAGTATTTACCCAGTGCCTTTAGCCTGGGGTCCAGACCCTCCCTCACCTGTCTGGACCCATGCCCAGGGGCTGCCGACAACTCCTGGCTGGAAGTGCTTGTGCTGCCTCCAGAGGGTGTGCGGCACGGCAGGGGGCACATTAGACACAGAGGGGAGGGTTGCACAAAGGAAAGAATTTCCAGGACTCCCAGGACTCGCACTGAGAACTTCAACCTTTTGGGTTCTTAGGTCTTTTGCCAGGCCAAACCATCGCTAATGGCTTTATCTTGCTCCTTTGGCAACAACAAGGTACGTGTGACCCCAGCCTGGCCAACCAAAGAAGCCCAGCCCCCTGGCCACATTGATTGAGCCAAGAGACGAGGACACAACTCGTCAGGTGCTCTCAGAGTCTTCTCTTGGCTTCAGACGCTGGAGGAGACTGTGGAGAGAGGAGAGGAGCCCCTCAGTTGGGATGCTGTAAGCTTGCTGCAGTCTGACCGTGTGGAGTGAGACCGTCTACGGTGGAAGAACGTATGGACACATCTGAGACTGAACGTAACCTCTGGAGAACGTGAGTGCGGCCCCCAAAGAGAAACATGGGAGTGGGAGATTGGGAACAAAGCGCTGGTGCCCCCTGGACACCCCAGGGTCCTATGGGCATTTTGCTGGCCTGTGGAGGTTGCCACTAAGGATGCAGGATAGCTTACCTGCCACCACTCCAACTCAGTTCATACTATAGCCCCCATGGAGTACGACATGAACAGCACCCCCTGGAGAGGTGCACGTTCCACACAGCCACCTGTGGGACCCTGATCACAGATGAGGAACTGAGGCTCAGAGGTGAAATGACCTGCCCAAAGTCCCACAGGCAAGGTCTCCAGACTCCAGGCTCTGA